ATAAAGACAATAGAGTGTTTATGTCTCGGAACTATCGGTCTGATAGTTGTCCCTTGGAAATTTGGTGTTCTTAAAACTAGTATATTTGCCCTCGAAGCTTCGCTTCTCGGGCAAATATTTGTTTTATGAACATCAAATTTCCGCGGGGCAACTATCAACCGATAGTTCCTCGACAGAAACACTCTATTGTTTAAATAGAAATCTCGAACTTGTCATCTAACTGTTAAAAAGAAGTCGTAGAAGCTACGAATTGTTTTCAGACTAGCCTGCGTAAAGGTCTGGAGATATCAAAGTTCCAGCTGTGTTCTACAGCGTTATTCTATCGCATTAAAATTTACACCAGTGAGCTTATCTGTAGTTCAGGAGTGAGGTAGATGTGAGGAAGGGCCTGCTGCAAAGCCCGCAAAACTATTTGTTTCTAAAAACAACTTTATCATCCAGCTGTATATCTTGCCTTGAGGTTGGCGACAGAGCTGATCTTTCTCTTCAGTCTGTTGGGGCATTTTTCCATGACTTTCAGAAAGTCTTGTGCAATGTCTGAAACAGTTCAGTGTAACAGAAAACTATTTGTTTTTTTGGTAATATTCAAAACACTGAAATAAGTGACAGCTACAGGCACGGATCTAGAATGGTGAGCAATTTCCGAAACAACGAGTGCCAAAGGTACAAGCGTCTAGAGGGGTCCGGGGCCATGCTCACCAAGGAAATGTTTTGGATTTTAACTCGCTAGTCCTCTTTCCTGGGTTTCTGAGTCATTCTGAAAAATCACCAGTCTGGATCTGTGCCCAAGATAGACGTTATGGACAAAGGTTTTACATAATTTGTACAATGAGGTTTATGCAATCTCTAAAAAGGCAAAAATTATAGGACTGCTTTTCATCCAGTGCTTTATACATTCCTTCAAAAATTCTACCTTGTTGTAAGAAATGCTGTATTAGTAATTTATTATATGGCTTTGGCTTGTGGCCGATATAACGCGCGCTCTGATTGGTNAGGCAAGAATAAAATCCATACCATCTAACATTGTTTTGCTGACACTAGAGTCGATGTATTCCCACCAATCTTTGCCATCATTTGATTGAGGAATCTAGGAGAGAAACAAATTTATGACTTTGATACTCAAGGCAACTGGTCGAAACTAAATCATGTGGTTTAACCGTGGTATATAATCCTACAAGGACATTGAAACCGAAAAATAAAGGGAGCTGGAAAATGTCTGGTCTGGTTTAATTACATTTCAGGAGTAAAAACTAAAAAACAAAGACTTAATTGTTTCAAGAGTAAAAACTCAAAAAAGGATAGAAAAATTTGAGAGTTAGCTCGGTTTTCTTTAACTTTTTTAGCAATAGGGAACTGGTTTTCACAGGCAAGCAAAACTTCTCTCTTTTTTTTTTTGAGGAAACTTTCCCCTGGGGGTCAAACCAGGTGGGCAAAATCATCTTCACAGCTGGTCAATTTGCGCAGCGCCCGGCCCTTAACGAAACCCCTGAGTTTGAGAATGCCTAATTCAATTTCATGACTGATGTCTTAGTTACCTCCCAGTTGGACCATTTGGATGCAAGATGGATGCATGCACAAGCGACGACTGGCGGCTTGTATTGCAGACACAAGGTGGTCAGGTGGAGGCTGTAAAATAAGCAACATACACATGTTATGCAAATACAAAATATAACCTTACATTTTCAACAAATTACTCTAACTTACACTGTACAAGTTACTTGGTCAAGGTTTTGTTGTCTTTCTTAAAGAAAAAGAAATTAAACCCCCTGGCTATTTTTTCAACATAGATCATTGTTCATAAGTTGTAAACTTCTATAAACAAGCCCTTTCCAAAAGCAAGCTACCCCCACTCCCCCTGAAAAAAAGCTCAGGTTCAAAAAGTCATGTTCATGTAGATTTAATTTCTTCTGATTAAAAGCCTCTTTTCAGCATGAGGTATTTTTTATACAGTGACTTACATGTACAGTGTTGATTTGATGATTGTTGAGATTATTTGTGTTTTTGTTAGGTCCCCTTGTTCAAAACAATTTTTAAACATCTGCAAACTTCCTTCCAGTAATAACCACAATGTGCAGTTCCAGAAAACATCCATACTCCCCTCCCCCACAGAAATGATTAGAATTTCCTGGGGGTGGGAGTTCTGTAAGACTAAAACATTTAAAGAAATGTATAATTTCCAGAGGGGGCAGGGGGGAGGTGGGGTCTTCCGTGGGGGGAGGTATGGATATTTTCTGGCACTACAAAATGAATACTGAAGGTACATGTATATATATCCAAGATCACACTCAGCAATGAGGGCACACCCACTGTCTCCCATGTTGACCAACGGTCAATAGCACATGTGAAACAAACACAAGGTAGGAAGGCTCTACCTGTTGGTGGCCATGAAGTACGAGGTCTGGCCAAGGTCCTTGCTTGCTGGAGTGGGTAGTGTGAAATGTCAAATTAGCAAAATCATTTCATTTACCATAAGTAACTATAAAACTCTGTATGAACAGTATCATGGTGAATGAGGGATTAGTTCAAACAATATCCAGTCCCAATGATACCACTTTTTATTACCACTAGAAATCTTGAGACCACATTTTAAGGAGGAAGAGGGGTAAAGGTTTTGTACAGTTTTTCTTCGGCATTTTTAATCTGTATATAGACAATCATTCCAGTTCTGTTCTCGTCAGTACTCACATGGTGGCACATGTGTGTACAGGTATACTGTATTTGCTCAAAGGAAGTTTACATGTTCATGTCATGAAACTGAGTGAAAGAAGGAATGTCAGGCTCTTGCAACTAATGTATATGAAGAGGAATGGAATGAAAATAAGTGGTTGCTGGGAAAAAAGCCAACAATGTCTGAATGGTTTTGAACTAAACTCTCACTACAATGCAACTATACATGAATTCAGGTCTAACTCCTTCTAAAAATGTTAAATATCTAAATTATCTTAGTTTATGATATCAACACATTGTGCTAAATAATTTTGAAAAGTTGCCTCCTTTGACAAATTTTTTGTTTGGTATGGAACTGCCATGCAACCTGACTTCTGTATTCTCTCAATTATGTACCAGGCCCTTAACAAACAACAGGTTCAAATACATGCTGCATGTTCAAGGTCCTGGTATTTGTTTGAAGTTCAACATTGATTTCAACTTGACCTTATGTAACCAATCTTTCATTAATACAATATGAAAAAATGACTTTAAGTGCCTTACTTCTGGGTGCATTCCCCAGACCTTGTGGTTCATAGTTAGTCAAATTGAATGCACAGTACAAATGCAACAATGCCATTTACACTGTATTTTTTTTAAAATAAATCTAACATTTTGTTTATGGCAGTCTAAATGTGATATTAATCTGAAAAATTAAGCACAACACTCACCTCTGACCAGCTGTATACACTTGACCACATATGTGTGAGGATGATGAACAGTAATCTCAAATCCTGGAATAAATAAAATAAGGGAATGTTTTAACACATGAACAACTCATGTATCGTATACCAGCATGATGACACAATTTTATCCTAGGTCCAGCATAGCTCACATGATGCCACTTTGCCTCATTGGGTGACTAAAACTACAAGACTCTATGCACTACCCATTCCAGAAAACTGATAATTTCATACAGAAATGAATGCCTAGTCATTGTTTACATGATACCAGTTCAAGTTTTCACATTTGAACGAAGACTGTATTCAAAATTAGACACAAGGATCAACAATATACATGTAGTGACCCACATCACCGTGACAAAGATAACTATCTAGTGCAAGTACTGATATTACAAGACCTCTGTGTCATCAAATAAATTTGCTCCTAACCAACATTTCCTCAGCAGTGGCTATGGGGGGAAAAGGTTGCCAAAATGGAAACAGCAGCTTACAAGTGTTTAACTTGTCCCTTACCTAGAGTTTGCAAAAGAATGCTTTCATTTTCAACCAAATCCTGAGCTTGCTGCAGATATTCCTTAAAATAAAAAAAAAAAATGGAGTAGAGTCAAATGAATCATGGAATTTTGGGTTTGGAAAATACTAAAACGTCTGAGAAGCATTCCAGTTTCAACTTAACAAGTTTGCTTATTGTAAGTTGTAGGTCATTACAGTATATAATCCTTCCAACTGAAAATTAAGCTAAACGCTTTACATGCAAGGGCTCATATATTGGTTTTAGAGAACACTTGCCTATGGCTCAGCATTTCTGAGTCATTCTCCACGAGTGTTTCTATGTTTTGATAGAAAACACAGAAAATGTTGTCTATTATTTTCTTAATTCATAGACATGTAACATTAGTTTCCATAAAAAAAAAAAACAAAAACAAAAAACAAAAAACATTAGTTTCCATAGTATTAAGCAACAACAAGAAAAGAGTATTGTTGTTCCCCACTCTACCCTTCTCTAGGATTGCATGCTAGTCCAGTGTTATAATCGTTTCAAAGGCTGCCCTTACAGTACCCTGAGAAAGAATGTGAAAAAATTGCCCGCTGGCCTGGGAGAAAGACGCTGTACATGTAAATTTTAAGAATGTAAAGGTGGAAAGTGGATGAAACGATGAAATGAAGCATACTTCACTCTTGAGGTCCAGTGGGGGGCCATCTCTGTGTAGGCAAGCATGTGCCACCTTGATAACATGTTCCAGTTTGCGTGGTTGTTCTTCGATTTTAGCAGCCAGGAACAGACAACAAGGTGCCAAAGCCTACATGTAAATGTGACATTTAAAACAACAAACAATTATGGCTTCAATGTGATTACCAATAACATTTCCATGGAAAGTATACAAAATTCTCACAAACTTCTAGTTCTTTTCGAAAAATTTTACCAATTGTAAACTTTAAGACTTGCTAAATTCACCTCTTCTATTAACACAAGATCAAGTTCCTGCAAAAATCTAGCAGTTTGTAACAATAAGGTACTGACGGAAAATTCTCTGGCCCAAGTTGTTCAGAAGGTTGATAACATTATCCACCCATTGAACAACTATCAAGGGACAAGGAAATAATATTAGAATCAGTCGTAGTGANATTTAAAACAACAAACAATTATGGCTTTAATGTGATTACCAATAACATTTCCATGGAAAGTAAACAAAATTCTCACGAAATTCTGGTTCTTTTCACAAAATTTTACCAATCATAAAATTTAAGACTTGCTAAATTTACCTCTTCTATTAACACAAGATCAGGTTCCCGCAAAATTTAGCAGTTTGCAACAATAAGGTACTGACGGAAAATTCTCTGGCCCAAGTTGTTCAGAAGGTTGATAACATTATCCACCCATTGAACAACTATCAAGGGACAAGGAAATAATATTAGAATCAGTCGTAGTGATTTTCTTTCACGATTATCAGAGCTAATTTATACTCTTAAAGAATTCAAAGTTTGAAGCCAGGAATGCAGTGAAGAGCAAATACATGTATACAAATACATTTACAATTTGGGATATGTCATCTTCAGCAATTTGAATTTTAATCTGTTAAATGTTTACAGGGTCTTCAAAGCAGATGGCCTTCCTAAAGACATAAATTCAATGACATTCAGGAAGAAATGACGAAATATGTGAGTGAAATTCAATCAGTCAGTCATTGATAATAAACTAACAATTAAGATGAATCACATTTAAGAATAAAAATTATATTAATGTCATTATATTAGTAGTTTCCTCTAACAGAGGAAAGGACTAAAAATATTTTTGAAAATCGTAAGAATTACAGTTAAAAACAAAAGGCTCTGATTAATGTGATAAAAGTTATAAAACCATGAATGAAATTTCAAATTTAATTACAAGCGTATAAAGTTAACCTTATTCGCAAACAGGAATACGTTCGCCGGTTTAACTTACGTTTCGATGGAATTTGTTGAAAGAGTGAAACATGTAGAATCTGTGCATGTAAACGATGGCTGTGTTTATTGTCAGCTGGCTCCTATAAAAATTGGTTAAGGAATAAAAGGTTTTGAAAGAGGAAAAAAGTGAGTAAAATGTGATGCAACGTACAAACGTAAAAGGAGGAAAGCTTAAAACTAACAGCGTTTAACAAAAGGATACACAGAGAGACGCTGCCCCATGTCTTGGATTAGCGTTGCCGCTTGTTGCCTGTAACTTTGCTCTTTCTCTGGATCAATCCCGTTCTTTCTTGACGGCGTATTTTGCAACTGTTCTTTAGTGAAGTAAAATCGGTCTGTCGTACTCACAGCGCTGGTCGCCATCTTGGAACAACAGGAAACAAAGAGCGCACGCTCGACAAGTCTCGCACCAGCCCTCGCTCGACTATCGTCTATCGTAGGCATGAGCAGTAAGCGCCAGGCAACAAAATGACACCAGAGAAATATGGCGGATAAACATTTCCCTGAAAATTGCTCTGTTCGAGCGAAACAGAGCACCGCCGCGAATTTTAAGGCTCACTGCCACACAGAAAAAGGACGAAAGGAGATACAAAGCTTTCTAGATGGCGTGCTTAGTCTGCAGCATCCATTCGACGCTGAAAGACAAGATTGGTGTTTACGGCTCATAGCCGGTGGAAGACCTCCAGAGGAATTTAAAAATGTGCTGAGGTCATTTGACTCGCCAACAATCTGCGGTCTGGTGTGGAATAAGAACTTTGTGGCGTATCGCTGTAGAGATTGCGGTATTTCTCCTTGTATGTCGCTGTGTGCGGACTGCTTTCATGCAGGAGATCACGAAGGTCATGATTTCAATATGTTCAAAAGTCAAGCTGGGGGCGCCTGTGATTGTGGCGATGAAGACGTTATGAAACCAGAAGGGTGAGTACAAATTATTTACGTTCTTTTGTTGATATGGTTTAACCAAGATGGCTGGTTAAATCTATGTTGCAATCTCTCCTAAACTTGCAAGATTAATAAATGCTTAAGACGTGAGCCAAAGATTTGTTTTGCTTCCTACAGTAAAACAATAAGACTTATATCTTACTGTTTGTGTAGCTGATTAGTTTAAGAGGTTGATCGTTTTGCGTAATGGGATCAAATCTTTTCTGAAGCTATGGAAAAGTTTGTTTTTCTTGTTACACTACTGCCATCTAATTTAAGATTTTCGTTTCGTTATTGAAAAGTTTCGTTTTAGTGGTTTAATTTGGAAATTATGATCTCATCAGACAGTATTTTTAAGTGATAATTTGATTCCATATTAAAATAAGGTAATTTCTACTTTGAACTTGGCATGAATACATACAACTACTGCAGTTTAGGGAAAGGAACTAAACTTCAGTTTTCACAAAAGATGAGATTCTGGAACAGTATTAGTACTATTTACATTGTAGGGCAATACGTACAGTCATGATGCAAATTATGTAAGAAATAGAAAACATGTACCGTGTTTCTATCAAGTTTTAGTATAAATCTACTAGCGTTCTATCACAAATGCTGTTCTCTGATTGGCTACCCTGTTCAGTATCTATTCTGTGACAGATAGTGAGTGAGCGTGGTAGTGTACCCTTGTTAACAAAATGACGGCTCCTTCTTGCCATTTTCGAAGTGTCTGTGAAGAGGGTTTAGATAAAGTTTTGAACGACTAGTGGATTTATACTAAAACAATTAGATTATTCACTCTTGATTTCTATACGTGATAGTTGACTCGGGCTTCGCCCTTTTCACGCGATAGAAATCAAGAGCGAATAATCTAGTTACTTAAGGTGGCTTAGTACAGTTTTGATGGATTATAACAGCCCAACTTCTAACTCTTTTGAAAAATGTTCCAAGATGTTTTTCCTTTCTCTATTTACTGTTTACGTAAGTCTTTTACCATTCCATGTGAAACTTGAACAATTAAACGTCAACAACTGGCCAAAATGAACGACCGAGTACCTAAGGAGAGACTGGGCACTAGTAGGTTAAATCAAGTTTTTCTCAAAATCTACTTGTATGACCCCACTTCAAAATTTCAGGAATGAGAAACTGGCTTTGATTTAACATTCATGCAAAGTAAAATAAAAATCTGCAAGACAGATTTTTTGCAAACTAAGAAAATGTGAAATCAAAAATAGCTCAAAGTCTGTCTTAATTATAATTTAGAGAGGTTGGGTGCATGGCCGGGGTTATTTGAAAGGTGGATAATGCTGTCCACCAGCCCCCAGTTGTTTGAAAGCTGGATAATGCTATCCACCGGATAAATCGTTCTCCAGTGGATACATGTAAGTGTTAACAAAATAACCATGCTATCCACTGGGTAGTGATTTATCCAGTGGATAGTGTTAACCTGCTTTCAAGCAACCCAGGCTAGATAAATTACTATCCAGCAGATAGGGTTGTTTGTTTTGTTAACACTACCCTTATTCACTGGATAGTGATTTATCCCATGGAACAACTGGGATCTCAAGCATTCAGGGGTTATTTGGCATCCAACCTCTTCAGATTGAGTGGGTTCACCATCCAATCACCTTTCTTGGGGACAGGAGAGAGGGACAGAGGGCAAAATGCACTGTTTTGAATGGCAAATGCACTGTTTGTTTGTAGTTAGTTTCACTCAAGTTTGCTTGTGGTAAGCTTTTTATTTGTTAGAAAGTGCCAATTACAATTTGATGTTGTAGTTTCCAACGACAAAAAAAAATAATCAATATGAGCTAAGTGCAAACAAACATGAGTGAAACTAACTGCAAGCAAAAAGTTCTTTCAGCCCTGAGTGCAAACTAAGCCTGCTGAAAACCAAATGCGCTTTAACATGTAGGCTAGAGTGTACACTGTATAGGTACAAATGTGTACACCCAAACAGACTGATGAATGACTGGCTCTCTTAATTAGTTAGGTATGTTAACAACCTCTTACTGATTCTTGATAGGTTTTGTCAACGTCATGGCACAAAGGACACAGCTGTCTCCAGAACTCCTCCTCCAGAACTGTTAGCCATGGCTAAGATTGTTGTTCCAAGACTGTGTTTGAGACTTCAACAACAGTTAAAAGAGTTGGCTCCGTATCTAATAGGTATATACTTTTGCTTTTGAAATAATAGTAATGTTTGAGAAAGCCTAGAAGAACTTGTAACATCATCATCATAATCTAAAAAAGAAAAAAAGTAGTAATACAGTAAATGGATTACTATTAAATGAAAATGGCAATTCAAAATGGCTGCCTGGTGTTAATTTCCAGCTATATTCAAAAATTTATTTACCTTGTGGCTGTTGAGAAAACGACAAACACTCAGTAACAGTTTACTAGAAAGTGTCAAAGCTGTTACAAGCTACCTTTAGAATTAAAATTTTCTACAGGTTTTTCAATCAAACGAGAGTGTAACATCCACTGAATAAAATGTTTTATGCAAATTATCAAGATCATGTGATGCACTATCAGTCTTTGAGCATCTGCTGTCCTCTAAGTTACTGATTTTCTAAATCAAGAGGGGGAGGGATGTTTACTTGTTGTTGAAATACTGTACGTGTGAAAAAATGTGACGTTAACGTAATTTTTTTCAGATCTAGTGGCTGAGGATATGAGTGATGCAGAGACCCTTGTTAACTTTCTTGTACAGTTGTGTGACACAAATACTATGAAAACTGTAACAGCAGAGTCCTTAATGATGAAAATATTAGATGTAGAAAGAATATTTGTTAAAGAAACAAGATCGTCATCTACAACTTCAGCATCATTTCACAGTACAACGCATTCATCAATTGATAGAATGGACAGTTCAAGCTCTTTGTCAAGTGGCTTGTCAACTGATAGTGTTGATGACATTGTTAACAGAACTTTTTTGGACTTTCTAATGGACTTTGTGACACAGTTTGAATTTCCACAGAAAATAGTGACATTTCTTCTTCATCTTTTGCCAAGCGCCGCATTTAAGGTACATGTATAAATTAGTAGAATAATGTACTAAAGTTCCAGTTTTTTTAGTGACTGGGTATTTTGCAAGTTGTGAAGTTGTGACTTGGAGTTGCAAGTTGAAAGTCGAAATTTGCAAGGTGAAGTTACGAGTTGCAAATTCCAAGCTGTGAGTCACAAGTCACAGCCATAGGGCAACCTTTAAAAAAATGCTAAAGAGAACCTAGCACTGGTGTAATATCCCATTAAGGGGTACATGTAGTAACAATTCTTGTAGTCAGTTGTTTCCTACAGAAACCACTGGTCCAAGGGTGGCTTAACCCTCCCTTGCTTCAAGACATTTCTCTTACAAACCACTTATTTCACACTGTAGGAAGCATTTACCAGAGTATTCTGCCAAAACTATCAGAAGATAGCCAAAGTGCTGGTGCTAAACAGCAGCTCTAACAGTGTTGACCAGTTGTCAAACCGTGTGGTGCATGTCAGTGTGCAGTTGTTTAGTAACAAGTTCTTGGCCGAGAAAGTTGTGCGTGAGCAGAATCTTCTTCACATTATGGTCAAGGTTCTGCATGACATGGCAAGGCCAACACTGGTGACTTTTAGGAGGGGAGGTATGGCACATCTTTTATTTTAAACTTTATACCAGGGCTTTTTTGTAGGGGTTTAATCTCAGTGTCCCTGAAGAACTCTGTTGAAGGGTACAGAAAGTATCCTCCCCAGTGGTAGATCTAGGGGAGGGCCTGGTATGNCACCTATTTTGGGCTAAAAAAAAATCACAGGAGGAAGAAAAGCCGGCAGGGCAAGCCCCCGCCCTCCAATTAGCTCAAGGTCTGGATTGGCCACTGCTCCTCTCTGTTTGGTATTAAGTGATTTGCAACTAAAAATACACAGTGGAATCTCATTTTCTCAAAAAAGAAAATTGGTTCAAGTTATCAAGAGATTTGACCAAATTGGGGGTTTGAGAAATTGGTATGGCACTGTATTTTCAAATTTGGGTCACAAATTGTTAGAACGACGAAGAAATAAATGTCAAAGGTCCAAAACCTTGGTGTAAACGTGCTTCTCTTACATGTACAGTGACTGTATTTTGGATTTCAAATTTTCTCGTGATAACAGATATTGATGATTGAGTATGATTGTGGTTAAAAAAAGAAAGATAGAATTCAAAATATGATTAAGATGCTAGACTGTGAATGAAACCAGAAAACCTCATACAAAGTATTTGAGGAAAATGGCCCGTCAAAGCATGGTTGCCAAAGTTACCATGCCAGTTTTGCATTGGTATAAATTTTTAAATTCAGTTAAAATAGAGCGTGCACGTACTGTATGTGTGGGTAAGTCTCTCACAAAAACAGTTGACAAACTAAAATGAATCCCAGATAAATTTCTAGAAAAGTAGTGAACAGCTTTGGATAAACATTGCTGGAATAATTTTGATTAAATCCATGGACACTTTTTGTTCAACCCATCCTCCTCTCCCAGTCCAGAGAGGGTACTGGTCATAATTCAGACAGTAAAGTGGAATTTAAATTGCATTATATGTAGTACATGTTTGGATTGTGGACAGTTTTAATCAGGCTTTATTATATGGCTCTGTCTCACAAGGACTGGGAACTACCAAATTCACAAATTTGGTTGGCTGAAATCAATATTGAGAGCAGTCTAGATTTTCCCATCTAGACTGGCATCTAGACTGGTAATGTTTTGAAGTGAAAAAGTTGCAAACTAAAATGCAAAATCATTGACTATATTCTTCTAAAAATATTTATTTATGGAAGTGCCAAAAAGCCTGATGAGAAAAAAAGTAAAGAGGACGAGCAAACTTTGGCAGGATTAAATTAAGCTCATCACCATTCGCAAGCAAAATGTCAGTTAGTACAAACCAGTTACATTAAACGAATTTATTGTTCTCGTTTGCCGTACAATAAACATCTTATTAACTGAGGTTAATCGGTCTCGGTTGTGTGTACAGACCTCACTGCGTTCAGTCTGTACTCACGACCTCAGTCAAGATTCTCTCATACAGACCTATTTGGTTAATAAGAGCTTATTATTGAATTGTTAATATTTGCTTGTTTTCAGACACAATTTCAAATCATGTTGTGGTGAATTGTGAGAGTCGTGCACTCAAGAACCATTGCTATTGGCCAATAGTTAGTGACTTCATCAATGTTCTGTCACACAAGTCAATAGCTGAGATGTTCATGCAGAACGATGACCTCATTAGGCAGTGGATGAAGTTCATTGAACACTTGACTGGTAAGTTCATTCAGGATACAAAGAAAACAAATTTTCAGGAATGGCCTTCGGGTGTGCTGTAACTATGCTCTTTTTCTGTAAGCCCAAAAATCATTCTTACAAACCCCCCCCCCCTTCCCCGCCCCCACGCCAAGAAAATAATTGTTTGTTATGACAGCTCTTCAATCTGTAACTTGATTTATCTCAATTTGAATTACAAAAAAATTATCAAGAAACTTCACTGAAAGACAAAATCCACAGCCCGGCCGCAAGATCCACCAGTTCCAGGCTAGCAGACATGACTTTCTTTCAAATTGGTGTGACTTACTATTTAAGTGTAAATACTTAGTTTGTAATACTCACATTTGAACCTGCAATGTTCACTATCTGTATTTTTTTGGTCAGTTTTCAATTTATTGCCTCAAAACCATGGCAATTACAGTGACCATTCCTTATGAAAGAAAACAAAGCAATGACAAAATCAAACTTCATAGGAAGTAATAATAAAAGCATAACTGGGTCAAACACAGGAAAGTGCCAGAGACAAAGTTGTGATTGATGAACTGTGTTAAGCTTTTGGGATTATTTTTGTCTTATTTTAGGGATGAACGTAAACAGTCGCAGACTACTGTCTCATATTGAGTATGAACCACAGACATATTGTGAGGCATTTTATGTGGAGCTGGAAGCTGCATCGTCACCTCTGTGGAGCTTTGTTAATGCATGTACAGCACTGGTATGTTTGTGTCATTACTCTGTAGAAGTTCCAGAGGTTTCAAAAGTACATGTACATGCAGCCGGCTTCTGGCAAAAATCTCCATCTACACTTTACAATGTACTTCATGATCTCAGCCAGCTACTCACAGAGGTGTATATTCATCTGATTTTTGAAATGAATGTGCAAAATCAGCCACGTAATCCTAAAATAAAACTGCCAAGTTAAAAACTCTGTGAGAGCCTTGAGTAATATTATATATTATCGTTTTTGGGGAGACATAGTGGACCTGCAGTCAGAGCATTCAGCTTCTGTGTTTAGCAGTCTGGGTTCAAAGCTGCCCTGTATCTTTGTGTTGGGTTCTTGGGGAAGACAGTACTTACACTTAACTCTCTCAGTAATTTTCTTGCCACATGATTATGTTATATTTAAATCAATACATGCAGGTAATGGCATACTGTTTGATAGAAAGGTTTGGGAGAGGGGTGGGAGGTTGTGTTGGGGGGGGTACGGACCCAATGTGGATTTTATAACCAGTGATGGTTTCTATCAAGGAGAGTTGTACAACTTTTACAGGGAAGTTTTTTTGACATTGATCAGTCAGAGCTATTTTCTGGCACTTTTGAGCTAGCTACAGTACCAGGCTCAGGAAGACTGTAACATAAATTATTCATTTTTCCTGAGCACTGTGATGTCAAGAATTTGTTGCATTGGCTAGCACAACTTGGGGTTTGCATTGTGGATGACTCAAATACATGTAGATGTGTAGATCTGTCTAATAGTTCTACAAAGCATAACTGCAGTAAGACAGGTGCCTATAATTCTTTCCAAAGAACCTTGGCAGGTGTTTTTTTTCCAGTGAGAATTGTCATTGTTCTGTTAACAAAAATTGCAATATTCCAAGTGGGCAGATCAAATTCATGTACAATGCTTGTTTAACCATTTAACTGTACAATATTTTACATGTATGCCTTAGTCATGAACTTGAATTCATGAGTAAAATAAGTGAAATGTAGAAAGATGCAGCTATACACTATTTTTCTCATTGATGTTACTAGAAAAATGTCCAGTGTGTTCAAAACATGATCAAGGGGAGTGTTGAGGCTCTTGATAGATGGTACAAGAAAGTTGATAGCAAGGTTTGTTAATAGTGGTATTCTTTATTTTATGATTTTTCAAACAATAAAATAGTAAAATGGAATTGGTAGTGGGACATCCCATGAGAAGGCTTTCCATCCACAGTTTCCAGATTGAATTGGAATTTGGAGAGTTGTTTTTTGTGTAGGGAGGTTATGTAGTGTTTTAAATGTACTAAGTTTTCTTCAAGGTTTACATGTATGCAATATTTATTTTGTTTCAGCCCCAGCGAGGTGAGGTTACATTTCATCTTCCTCTTCATAGGCATCTTGCTGCTTTTATTAGTCTGGTAAGCAGGCTGGGAATGGTTTTAATTATTCCACCCATGCACACTTTCACTGTTGTTCATGACACTGAAATTGATCTGACTATGAATCTAGGTTTGACATACATGTAATTGTTGTTTATTTTCATCACTTCTTTTCCTCAAAATGCCTGTTTTTACTCAAAAATGTCCCAAATGAAAAATTGTAAAATATTGTTAAAAACTGTGGTTGAATGATGCAGACCAGGGCCTCGTTGTTCAGAGAATGGATAATGCTATATCCACTGCATAGATCACTATTCAGTGGATAAAATGGAGTTTGTTTCATCAACACTTATCCACCAGATAGTGAGTTATCAATTGGACAGCACTATGCACACTTTAAGCAATGGGCTCCAGGCTTTCTGGTGTTTGTATTATTCATAAATGAACCATACAATGTAATTTTCAGACTTGCTCTAACATTAAAGACTTATATCTACATTTTATTGTGTGAACAATAACATACACCTGTACCCAGTTTTGTTCTTGAGAATTGTTTTCTGGTTGATATAGGCTGTATCTCAGTTTGATATTCCTCTGGAGGAAGTCGTGCCCTCAAATGAACTCCTCAGAAACATTTGTGAAGATCTGTTCCACATTCAGGTGAGAAAATACATGTACTGTACAAAGACATGCACATATACATTAAATCATTCGCATTTTGTCATTGTGCATAATAATTATGAAGTGTTTGTCAGTTTTCTCTTCTTCTGTCTGTCCCGTTATCTCTCTCTGTCTGTCTGTGCCAGTCAGACTGTCATGGAGGTTGACATATTTGGTTCCTAAATTTGGACTCTTTCTCAGTGTAAAATTAACCAATTTCATAAAGAAAGAAAATGAAAAGCTTTAAGTGATATGCAGAGTAGGAAAACAATGGCTAATTCTAATTTATTTTCTGCATTGCAAAGGCTGCTATTTGTGAAATTCGTGCCGGTAGATGGGTGCGCAATGGTTCTCAGATCAGAAGTCAAGTACAGCTATATATCAATTGCCATTTCTGCAACTCAATGCTGGATTTGGATATTTTCCTGTTACAGGTGAGTCAGAGTGCTTTGTCATTTTAGAGATGCTGTTTTAATTTTCATTTAATACAGTCAAACTCTCCATAACGGCCACTTTGGGAACAGAGGAAAGTGGCTGTTGTAGAGTTAAGAGAGGTTGCCATTTGCATTTTTGGGGAGTGCAACATTTTTATCTTTAAAAAATGCTTATTTAGCTTGTAAGTACACAACACAATCAATACATATTGATAAAACAGAAACAGAGACCAATGACCCACGGTATGGATCAAAATGGGGTTTTGTATGCACTGTTCATCAGTCACTGGCCATTGTTAAAAGGCTATTTTGACATTTTGGGCACGCTTTAGTGGCTGTTGCCTAGTGTAGTGGAGAGTTGGCTGTTGTACAGAGATTAAAATATGAGTGAATGTATGGGCCATCTGCAGGGACAAAAAAAGTGGCTGTTGTGGAGAGGTGGCCGTTAGTGGAGGTAAGACTGTCTTGCCATGAGGAGGATATGGTTTCAAACATTTTATTAGTGCACAAGATTTTAACTCTAGATGTTTAGAGTTCAAATGTAGGTATGGCTGTTGCTGGGTTTATTTTTTAGAGCAAGACATTCTGCCCTCCAAGTGCCTCACTATAAGCAGCACTCGCAAAAAAGTGCCCTCCAGTCGTCCAGGAAGAGTAGATTTCCCTGTTTCATTCTCACTTGCCTGATGGGCAAGGGCACAAGCAAGTCATTTGCCAACCAAATTACTTGAAATTAATGACATTCCCAGGGGAATCAAAATTTGAGAGCTGCATGCGTACACATGCTAGTCCAAAGGGCAAGCCAGAATTCAAATTTTTTTCAAGCCCTGTATAAGCCCTGGTTCATTTTCTACTGACAAACAGGTTTTTACTTAATACAAGAGATTTCCATTCAGGTTGTCCAGATGTCTTGATGTATCCTGAAAGATACTAGTGACTTTATTGAGTCTACATTCTCAAGACTGGTCTCATCCATAGGATTACATCTTGATGTACATCTCGACAAGCGGATGACATCCATCTGGATACTATATACTGCTGTTAAATTAATGATCTTACAGTGAACAGCCATTCTCTATTTTCCAATTGCCCATAATGCACTCTGTTTGCCCCCCAAATTTTGCATAAACTGCTGTAGTTGTGAAATGCTCTTGGGAATATGCAGACCTCCCACGAGTATTTCACAACAATAGTTTATGCAAAATTTGGGGGGCAAACAGAGTGCATTATGGGCAATTGGAAAATAGAGAACTAAGGTTTTGAAACATGGAATTGATCATCTTTTATCTATGCTGTGTTTTAGGTGTGTGCAATGTTTCTGGATCCTGAAGTCTTCATTGGCACAATGATCGAAAGGTTTGTTCACCATGCCATTAATATTTCTGTCTACATAGAGTATTGGTGGGTTGCGTCGAGAAGTTTTCAATGATTGTCATAAATCAAANTAAAGAACAACCAATTAATGCTCTTCATATGGACATTGTGTTGTATTCTTTAAGCAAGACATGTTTTCAAGAATTTCATGTACTGCATTGCCTTGCGCAGCTCTGTTGGGTAATGGGTACCAATACACTGGGGAAGGGATGGCAACGTGTAGAGGGGCTATCATCCCATTCACGGGTCAGTAGCAATACTCCTAGCCACTTCACGCCACGGAAACTATGATAACCTGAGCCACTTTTGCCCAAGTGCAGAACTATAAACTTTGTCAGAGATCATACACTCCTTCGCATGCCATGGATGTTGGTTGTTACGTTACAGTAGTTGCCTTAACATCGCTCACATCCCAGATAAACCAGGACAATCGCATAATACACAGGAGTTTGAAAGGACTCTCAATGAGGTGATGAATTTAACCTGTCAATTTATTTCTCTTTCAAGTATATCTGCCAAATTTCAAATTCTTTAGTCTTAAAACATTCTCATAGAGTCAAAGGAAACAAAGATTATGATTTCTTTTTTTATTTAAAAAAAAAGAAACCTGCTCTAAAGTAAAAGAACAACAAGAGTTGACAAAAGTTATTATAAACTTTCTCCATCCCCCCTTTCATTCGACCTGAAACTTTTATATTTTTTTGGTAATTTTCGTTGACTTTCGTTTGTTCTAATCAAATTTGAACCTCCTCTAATACTTCTTTTAGGAAACCTTTAAGAAACTTTTAAGAAACTCTTAAAAGGGTGTTTGTCTGCGTTTTCTCCTGTTTGGCCAATGTATTCTTAGAGTTCAAGAAAATTCTTGAAAATCCATATCCTTCGACTGTCAATGGCTCTTAGCTCATCAGCTTGCTGATTATGTTCTTTTTTTCTTTATCAAAGTTGGCAGATTACAGAGGCCCAAGCTTTGAGAGTGGATCAATGCAGCAGGGCATGTATGTCCCGAAAGGTATGTTTGCGATGACAAGGGAAATATTGAGGTGAATTGTAAACGAAATTGGAGAATGTAGGATAAATGTTTGGAGGTGTAGGCACGGTCTGCTGTATAGCTCTAAGTTGTTTAACCGACGTTCTTTTATCTTTAGATATTGTCTGGAAGAACGACTTTGATTTTGTTCTTCTGTTGTTACGAGCTTTCCATCGTCAAGATGTACAGTCTGCTATGCAGCGTTATAAGTCCTAGTGAGTATAATTTTTTTCCAGGGGTAGGGGAAGGAGTACTACTAGAAAAATTGGGTGAGGGTGTGCGGCGAACTTCTTGAAACCCTTGCCCTATTTCAGACCAAAACGGCGTAAGAACCATTCCTTTTGGCGCCCCACATGCCACAGCTTTGTTGCATGTGACTTGAGCGTCCAAATATACCACGGGATCTTATGGCTTCTCTTCCTGAAGGTAAACTCTAACTACGATGTACTAACCTGAAAATCACTCTTACTAGGTTGGTCTCTCACATTACTCCTGTAATTTGAATTTTCTCAAACAATTTCTCGTGAAGAAAACTTCACTTGCCTGTCAGGCAAATGACGGACAGAGTGCAATAGCCCGACTGGAAAATCCACTAACATCGGGCTACCGGACAGGACTTTCTTTGCACGCTGTTAACGATTGTCGTGGGGATTTTCTGTTTGCCGTGTCTTTGAAATGGCGAATAGAGTACTTGAAATACATCGATTCAAACATATCTATTGGAGCAGTGTGTTTATTTATCAATGAGCTTTAAACCAGGGATTGTGGTATATATGCTCGATATGTTTTCCGTTATTTCCAGTGCTTGCAAGAATGGCCAGCCTCAGAAAGGACAATTATGGCCGCCATTCCTGCCTCTTAAACCACTGCCTGAGAAGTTTTGTGGATTGACGAAGATTCTCCACTCCAATACACTGCATGGGGTTTTGTTCTTCATTTATCACAAGGTAATCAAGGCTGTGTGTTAAGTAACAACATCTCTCAATTTGTAAAAACTGAATTGTGAGAAACACAAATACGAAATGAGAAGCTACATGTGGTGTTCGACTGCCCGACTGATATGGCTGCGTCAAAGGTCATGGGCTCGTTTCCCGCAGCGGTTCTTTCTTGTTTCTTTGTCCCATATTTGTGACGAAATGGGTACAAGTTTCTTGCAATTTAAGTTTCGCTGTAAGTACTGTCATCATTGAATGTGGGTTCATATTTTTAATGGTTTTAGCAGACTTGTCTAGGACGATATTAGTTTACACCATAGTTTTTAAGTTTCTTATTAGCATCAATTTATCAAAAATGAAATTTTGGTGGGGAAGAGTTAGAGATACGTCGAGTGAATAGAAACTGTCCTGTCTAGTAACTGGCAAATTAACATGATTTACCAAATATTTTTTGAGAACTCTTCGGAGCAGTTTTTCAACAATCTTCTAATTAATTTTTAAATGCAATTTCGGAAAGTACGTATTGTTAATTTGCGTTGTCTTCATTGCTTCTAGGCCGTGGAGGACATTAATTCCTTAGCAGATGTAGTACATCTTGCTGTTTATCTGACAAAGCTGGCGGTAATGGCACATCCTGAAACACCAAATCTTGTAAGTCTAGAGTACTTAAGTTAATATTTCGTTTTATGCACTAGTTTGTCCACTGTCCTATAAGGTTTTGCTGTCATAAATGAGAAGCCTGAACTGATTGTGTAGCTAGACATCGTCCGAAGTCTTCGAAAGTCCATTGGTGTATTTTGTAACCCTCTAGTGCACCAATCTTCCAGATGACAGAGAGAGATCTCTCGTAAAACACTCAACAACGTAGTCTAGCTGTCCTGACACTTAAATAGAAAACCTGTGATAGTGTGGTGAGGCTGGTTTCTATTTTCCGTTGTTATTTCTCATTGGCATCTTGCCTTTAAAACTTATTTGGAGCCCCAAGTGCTCAGGTAGCCTGCACGAGTCTTGAAGTAATTTTGCCGTAGCTAAACAGAAAAGAACTAAAGATACCCGTCGTATAAACTAGTCAAAATGCAGAAATTGAGACGTTTTAGTAATGCTTTCATGTAAACTAAGCGAGTGTCGGTTACTAACAGGTAAATTCAACACAGTGTTATAAAATGTGTGTTTGCTTTTATAGCGCTCCGTGCCTTCTACCTGTAAAAGTGACGAGTCAAGGGATATTGGCTGCATAATAGTGGACCGCTGTATTGACTTCCTTGACACTTACGGTTTGTGCTCTGACAGCAGTTGATTTGTTATATTCTTACCAAGTCCACGTTGTAGGGGAATCTTTGTATGCAATATTTCTTATATTTGTCTCATTAGCGTAAAGATTGTACTATCTGATCCAACTGAAAAAATATCAGGCCTGAGTACTGAAGGGGCGTGGAACGATTAACTATCCCTGAAGAAATTTGAACCGGATTGAACAAATACTTTGTGTGTGGTGCGTGTTCAGAAACTCGGAATTTGATAAACAATGCGTGGACTCATTAGCGTTTTTGCCACCCAGATATTATGCAGTTTATTAAAGCCAAGGCATCCTTCAATATTGCAACCAAAGAACTAAAAATGCCACCTTTGAATGATAGATTTTGTGGTGTTATATTGAGTAAAGCAAGCCTTGGAAACCTGACATAATTTAGTAGTTAGTAATCAGTAAGGCCTGGTTCACACTAGCGACATAACGACATATGTTGATAATGTGAACATGGACATAAAGATCAGACATAAAGAAAATATCAGTTTTTCCCCTTGTATTGTTATGTTCATGCTGTTATGTTGCTTTTATGTCATTATGCAAGCATGTCCATACTACAAACATAACGACATATCATCGCTAGTGTGAACCAGGCTTAAGAAGCAAACTGTTTGTTGTTACGTTTAACAGGTAAGGATGTACAAGATCTGCACCAGATCAAAACACATCAATGTTTGAGCAGAGAGCTGATATACAGATTGCAACAAGGTAGGCTGCTGACTGCACTATTGATTGGCTAAATGTTGACCTTCTTGCGTACCGTAATACAACAATTTCTATTCATTTCCAAAGGCGATAGACTCCCTTTCGTATTCAATTGACTTGTTTTCAATGTTATACGCAGGTTATAATTTAGATCAATTTTGATAGTAAACCATTTAATAAAAAGCTGACAAGAGTGGAGGCCTTCTAATCAAATGTATAAACTTCTCGAGTTCCAGTGCGAAGTTTCAAGTTTCAAATTAGATAATTTTGGTCCAAGTTCTGAGAATTCAATTGTTGCATCCTTGGGGAGAATTCATTGTTACAACATAACAATTTACAACATAAGTATTTTCAATCTATGAACATATTAAAATAATGAAAATAGGGTTTCTCTTACCTACATTTTCAACGTGCTGTTAAGGCTATAAACAGAGGAGCTCAATCAAGTTATTTTGACCTCATACAATATTACCTTTAAATTGAAGGAAACCTGAAAATAGAAGTTTATTAAGATAGAAAAACACCAAAGAGATGATAATAAACCATAAAGAATTAGGGATGGTTAGGGATGGAGAAGATTAAAACGGATTACAAACGACGAACGTGAAAAATATGGGCTAAACTTTTCAAGATGCGCAAACCGTGAGATGTGTCCCTTAAACTTGGACGCATGAAACAGACAATTACTGCATTCTAATCAAACATTTGTCTTTTACAGACCCCTACGCTCCTCTTCACCCCGAGACAGACTCTTCTCATCGCGTCTGCGCTGCTATGGCGGACGCCCTCCACAATCCACATCTTATGAAGCCTCCCCTGTTCGAGCCTTTCCTCCCATTCATGAATGGCGTGCTCAACAGTGCCCTTCGTAAGTACAAAACTACTGAATTCTGTGATTAATCTTTGGTGAAGGTTCTACTGAAATGCGTTGGTCTGTTGTCGCTAGAAAATCAAAGTAGTCCTGGAGGAGGTGGGTACAGAGGTGGAGGTAGAGAAAGACATGCATTTCGTCTCTAGTAGGTCTTAAAGGAGCCATGTTTCAATATTTCAAGTCATTTTGGCGAGGTACAAAATTTTTTTCAAATTGAAGGAGGATTTTTCAAGCTGGCCAAACTGGAAAAACCCAAGAATGAAGTAAACTTTTAATAATGTTATTGGGTGGCCCATAGTTAAATAGTTATGAAACCTGGCAAAGTTCTTTGTTGTATGTTTTTGTTGGCTATTTGGGGGGTTTGTTAATTTGCCTCTTTGATCTTCACCGGTCTTCTTAATCATTTCCCTCTATTAATTATGGGTGGCCATAATTAAAGAATACTTTTTATGTATAAACAAACAATTTAATTGAATACTGCGAATCAAATTCAGAGTTTATCCTGATTTACATAAACAGTTTTCTTCGATTTTCGTGGCCGAAATAACTCGGTGAAAAACATGGCTGTATACATTTAGTGATAAGTCATACAGAAGCCTTACCCACACTGTAACAGATTTGCAAAAGTCCTTCTTTGGCTGAGTCTATAAATCTGACATAACAAAGCGATCTTCTTTCTTTTTATCACTTACTGTTTCTGATTTGATTTTCTGTTCTCAAGCACTGTGACGTTTGTTTTTACTTTTCAAATTCCAGAGAACCAAAGTAGCAGCCAAGAGAAAATAGCTCAGCTGCAACACATTCAGTTCCTGATAGAACAACAGCCAACTCACAGGCGAGATCTTATTACAAAACTCACCAGACATCTTCTTAGGTAATGTTTACATGACACTTCTGTATGTAAACCAAAAACATGTAGCTGTTATTGAACTAACTTAAGGGCTCTATCGGGCCGGGTATATTGGCTTTTATAGGCCGAGGCGAAGCCTAACAAGCTAGTTTAATAAATTATCAATTGTGTTGGTTTTTTTGTTTTTTTGTTTTGTTTTGTTTTTTAACTGATAAGTGAGATTATATCTACATGTATGTTCTGAACAGGTGTGCGGGTTAGTGTTAATTAAATTAACGAACTACGCATTTTAAATCTACTTTTCCTAGACCTCTCCTACTTGTTTAAAGGTTTTTGGATTTAACTCAAAGCCTGAAAAGGGGCAATTAATCAAACCGCTCAAAACGATACTAAAAAGCGAAAATGCCTTTAAAGAGCTAGGCAGTGTTAAATAGTAATAAGAAGCAAGCATTTCCAAAGGAACTGTGTTGAGATGTTACAGTCACATGTGGCTGACATCTTCGTCAGTTGCAAAAGGCGTTTGGGAAAAAAACCATTTGAACTTATGACAACCGCGGGAAGGATAGTTTATATGCATGCTTCTCCAGGTTGTTGTAAGTTCAAATGGTTATTCAATCACAGTTTGTAACTGTTTGTCACATCCATCGAAACATATTCTACAAACTTGAAGACTTTGAAATCGCGACTTAACCTGTTCTGTTAAAGTTGTTNGTCTCACCAAGTTCCTGCTGGCTGGCCAAAGACTATAAGTGACCTGGGATTCAGTTCAAGCAGCATGGTAACAAATGTTAGGCTTGTAGTACAAGCAGTACAAGAACCAATGGACACCAGCGAAGGAAGTAGGAACGGTATGTCTTTAGGATGGTTAAAATCATGTTACGTTTAGATTATGGTGTTGGTTTTTAGTAGAGGTGGCATGTAGTCAGTCAAGAAGTTAGTGCTTCTTAATTCCAGTTTCCCTAGCGTGACGCTAATGGGAATAATACATCTCTCCTGGATGGCATTCTAGTCCATCGCGAGTTTTCCTCCGGCGTGTTATGTTACCCGGGCAATTTATTGTACTACAGTAACATGAAAAGCTCTGTGGATGTAAAGTGTCCTCCCCAGACAGAATCAAACCAGAGCCACTGGAGCCAGATCCCAACACACTAACCAACTATGCCACTGTATCCTGACTTATTTTTCCAGTATAAATGAATGTACGAGAGATTCACAAAGGAGCAAACGGAAGAACGACCCGCTCGAGCGAAAGAACGAACGAACGAACGAACGAACGAACGAACGAGCGGACGAACGAACGAAGGAACGAACGGACGGAAGGACGCACGGACAGACGGACGGACGGACGGACGGACGGACGGACGGACGGACGAACGAACGAACGAACAAACTTGATTAAGATGTCTGAAAGTTTCTTGCAGAAGGAGAGCCCTGTCCTGATAGGGGACACCTAACAGAATATAAATAACTGTGACCCTAATGAACATGCACTATTTAAAGTGAGGTTTAAATTTCGATCCGTGTACACGAAGGTGCTTTTTCGTTGCTTAGTGGACTAGGGGTTAGCTAGGTTAAACAAGGTTAAACCACAGAGGAGGTTGGAGCCAATAGATACAAATGTAAAACGCGTCTTCCTTTCCACAGACTTCAAGAGCACATCTTTAAGCTCGTCTGAACACCAGTCCTCTAAGACTGATGTTAACGATTCTGAACTGCTCTCCACTGAGGCAAGGGATAGAAGAGGCTGGAGTATAAAAGACAAAGCGTCATTTCGAGGCTTGGTACAACAATTCATCAGTTTAACCAATGCATCAGAAGGTAATTTTCATAAACTGTGGTGTCTTGTTGCTTTTTTTCTAAACGGTTTACTGTGGGCGTGACTGGAGAACACCCCGCCACATGGAAGTCATTCGTGAAAAAGTTTGGCTGTAGGGCTGAACTTGTAGTTGTCGAGGCTTTACTATTCGAGGTATATTAAGACCGCAGTTACAACGCCAATTTTCTCTTTTAAGTTACCACCATAAAACTTTTGAGGGCTTGCAGAGGAAACCTCGAAATGGCCCTCAATCTACACTTGGACAAAGAGGAGACGATTCCTGACTTGGAGCAGGCTGTAGGTGATGTAGCTATGGAAACGAACTCCTGTGTGATGACGTCATGTGGAGGACCGCTGGAAACCCCTGACAAGTCGGAAGGCTCAAGCGCCTGCCCAGTAGAAGGAATAAACGAGAGTATTTTGAGTTTGTTGGTGAAGCTGAAGTCAGTCATGACCAGTTCAACAACATCGTCACCAGGAAGGTGGGTAAAAGATGTTTTAACATCCCAGTAGGGTCTCTCCTTCACTCATGAACATTTATACAGGCCCTTACAACTCTTGCTTTGATGTACAGTTGAACTCTTAAGCAGCCACCTATTAAACGGCCACCCTTATTAGGCGGCAAGTAATCAAAATCCCGATGGGGGTTTTCTATTGTTTTTACCTCTATTAAGCGGCCAACCCCCATTAATGGCCATTATCCATTTCCCTGTGGGTGGCTGCTTAATAAGGGTTGAACTGTACTTAGAAGAGTGTTACAGCTTCTTCCCTTCTCTTAGAATATTTACCATTTCAACACCTTTGTCGTCATCATCGTGGTAACTTGCAGAATGGGCTCGGGTCCCTCTTCTCAGACATGCATTCACTGGGAACTATGTGACCATCTCTTTTCGAACAGTACAATGAATTCAATGTCCAGAGAATCTGTAGGAGACAAGGCGAAGGACTTAGTCATCTGAATTGAGAAGGGTTTGTTTGGCACAACCAGCATGATCTTACTAGTAATTCTGGTCCACAAGGATTTGAACAGACGACCAGATGCACAAAACAAGGCACTGAAAAATCAATATCCCCGCTCCCCCACCTTGGAATGCAACTAAGTTGTCAACACCGTGAATGAAGTATTTTTCATTCCACAATAACAATAGGAGCCCAGCGCATAGTGACGAAATTCAATACCTGTCAGACCTGTTAGACGTGATTGGTAAATCTAGTCCTGAGAATGCTGCTGCACTGCGCAAACTCCAACCAGCTGCTGATCGGACGAGTACCAGTCCATCCTCACCTGATGGTGACAATGACGATTCTGTGGCCAGAACCATGCGCAGGTAACTTTTTTTTTTTCAACCGGTAGTCCTTTTTCCTGCAGTGTATTTTGCTGAGCATACTTTGGTTTCAGTCCTGAAAGTCTTGGATTGATCTCTTCAAAAACCGTGAACTTCCGAAAGAATTGCCTGGAAAACAAGCCACTTCCTCTTAGGAAATCTTATATCTACTCCCACCCCTTCTCCCCCTCGCAATAGGAGTACCAAGAGATCCTTAGCAAAATACCAGATAGCTTAGCATCACAGTGAGCATATCAATTAGGATGCGTCCTTGATAATTAACGCCATTTTTGTCCTTCTTTTAGGCGACAGCTTGCCAGGGAACGCCAGCAAAAGCTTTTAGCTGAGTTTGCATCAAAACAGAAAAGTTTCATGGAGAAAAACTTAAAGAAAGATCCAGGTATAACATACGTTGATGTCCTTACGTCTTTTATTGTATCACGTGTGATTTGACGTTCTTTATTGAAGCAGGACTGCATTGCGGTCGAGGGCTGGGATGTAAGAGGTTACTTTGTATACTGTGGAGGGACGGTGGCCTCATGGTTAGTGCGCTCGTCTCCGGATCGAGTGGTCCGGGTTCAAGCCATGGCCGGGGACCTTGTGTTGTGTTGTCGGGCAATACACTTTGCTCTCACAGTGCCTCTCTCCACCCAGGTAAAAAATGGGTACGGCGAATTTAATGATGTGAGTAACTCTGCGATGGACTAGCATCCCATCCAGAGGGGAGTAGAAGTATTCCTAGTCGCTTCATGCTACAGAAACCGGGATATGCTCCGGCCTGATGAGCCACTTGGCTCGTATGCAGACTTTTTCACGTTTTGCTTTGTATATTGTTTTAAAACAACGTTGCATCTGGCCAATTCATTCTCAGATGCCCTAGACAAGACGGCTGTAGACGGTGCAAGCAGTGACACTACAGAAGAATTGTTTGACTGTGTTATTTGTGGACAAACATCAACATCCACGGAGGGCAGGCCAATTGGACTGGTGGCTCTTCTACAACCAAGCGCNGCGAAGGACTTAGTCATCTGAATTGAGAAGGGTTTGTTTGGCACAACCAGCATGATCTTACTAGTAATTCCGGTCCAGAAGGATTTGAACAGACGACCAGATTCACAAAATAAGGCACTGAAAAATCAATATTCCCGCTCTCCCACCTTGGAATGCAACTAAGTTGTCAACGCCGTGAATGAAGTATTTTTCATTCCACAATATCAATAGGAGCCCAGCGCATGGTGACGAAATTCAATACCTGTCAGACCTGTTAGACGTGATTGGTAAATCTGGTCCTGAGAATGCTGCTGCACTGCGCAAACTCCAACCAGCTGCTGATCAGACAAGTACCAGTCCATCCTCACCTGATGGTGACAATGACGATTCTGTGGCCAGAACCATGCGCAGGTAACATTTGTGTTTTTTTTTGTTTGTTTTTTTAAACCGGTAGTCCTTTTTCTTTCAGTGTATTTGCAGAGCATACTTTGGTTCAAACTTCCGAACGAATTGCCTGGAAAACAAGCCGCTGCCGCTCCCTCTTGGGAAAAAGCTTCCCACTAATCTTATATCAATCCCCACTCCCTCCTTCCCCTCGCAATGGGCGCACCAAGAGATCCTTAGCGAAATAGAAGATAGCTTACAATGAGCATATCAATGAGGATGCTTGCTCGAGAAATAACGCCATTTTGTCCTTCTTGCAGGCGACAGCTTGCCAGGGAACGCCAGCAAAAGCTTTTAGCAGAGTTTGCATCGAAACAGAAAAGTTTCATGGAGAAAAACTTAAAGAAAGATCCAGGTATAACATACGTTGATGTCATCACGGCTTTCATTTTGATGTGTGTGATGTTCTTTAACGAAGCAGTCTACATTGCGGTCTGTATAAAAGATAGAAAAGTACGCAAGGGCTGGGATGTAAGAGGTTACTTTGTATACTGTGGAGGGACGGTGGCCTCATGGTTGGTGCGCTCGACTCCGGATCGAGTGGTCCGGGTTCAAGCCTCGGCCGGGGACGTTGTGTTATGTTCTTGGGCAACACACTTTACTCTCACAGTACCTCTCCACCCGGGTAAAAAAATGGGTACCGGCGAAGTTAATGCTGTGGGTTACCCTGGGATAGACTAACATCCCATCCAGGGGGGAGTAGAAATACTCCTAGTCGCTTCATGCTACAGAAACCGGGATAAGCTCCGGCCTGATGAGCCACTTGGCTCATATGCAGACTTTTTCACGTTTTGCTTTGTATATTGTTTTAAAACAACGTTGCATCTGGCCAATTCATTCTCAGATGCCCTAGACAAGACGGCTGTAGACGGTGCAAGCAGTGACACTACAGAAGAATTGTTTGACTGTGTTATTTGTGGACAAACATCAACATTCACGGAGGGCAGGCCAATTGGACTGGTGGCTCTTCTACAACCAAGCGCAGGTGAAACTTTCTTCTCGAAAACTCACTGAAAACAAAGGGTACAACTCATACGAGTAAACTATCCGAGTGTTCCCCTTACAAGTGTTATGAATGGACAGTAGGAAGGACAATTGTTTGTCGGTGTCAGTTTTTGGGCATGAAATGAGCCTTCCCAGAGCTTTACAACAGTCATTAATAATTCATCAAGTTATAAAGGTATAATCTTGTAGTTTTCTTTGGGGAGATATATCAAACACTCGAGACAATGTTTCATCGCATTTCCATACCTCTCGAAGTTGCTCAAAAAATACTCCGCTAAGCGTCTTTTTGCAACTCTCTGCTCAGTCTTGGAAATTTCTTATTTGATGAAATGTTATCTCTCGTATTTGACATAATACTTCCAGGAACCTGCATTGATAGGAGTTTTTTTCCTTAAAACTGATGCAGCGTTCCTGTATAAATATGTTTTAATTATTATTATTATTATTATTATTATTATTGTTGTTGTTGTTGTTGTTGTTATTGTTATTGCTGTGAGTTAAGAGCAAACTACACCTGTAGTCTCTTCAATAGTGTGTCTTCCTGTTTGTCTAGAAACTACTAACTAACCAAAGCTATTTTTGTTCTTGTTTCACAACAGTGCTTAAACACAGAGCTCTTCATGTAAGGCACAAACAGCTTCCGCTAAGTCGCGAAGAAGAAGAGGCTCGTATCATTAACTGTGAAACAACGTTTAGGAACAGATTTGAAGATTTAAGAAGACGATTTGACTTGGTATGATTCACCTTTTGTTTGGTCCTACAATGCCCAATGCACAAAAATTAACGGCAAAAGTATTCATGTCTGGAACCAATCAGAATCTGAAGTCCAAACGTGTAGCTGCCGAGCGCGGGAAAGCGTGTAACCCGTGTCAAGGCGGGAAAACATGCAAACGGTGTCGTGCGTGGGATATTATGCTAGCGGTGCCTAGCGCGGGAAAACATGTAACCGGTGCCAAGCGCGGGAAACGTGTAACCGGTCTCACGAGAGGGAAAACAACGTCAAAACAACTCAACATCTCTCTGATTGGTTAGAGCATGCCACACCACTGTTTTTAAGCCAATAGCGAAGCGCGCGAGTGACGTCATAACTCAGACCAAAAAAGACGGAATGGTGGAAGATTTTACGCTTTTTCAAGCTCGTAAGTAAGTGATCCTGAAACAATTTTTAAAACGAAAATTTGGCGTTCATTTTCCTCTGTTTCTCTGACTCTCGCGGGGTTCCAATAATTTGCATTCTATTTTTAGACTTCGCGCGCTTCGTTATTGGAGAGCTCAGAAAACTTAGAATCAAGGGACACACGTTATGATCTTGGTATCCTGTATATTTCTAGGATCACTTGTCCTATTTTCATTCCAACCTTCGTTATCAAGTTCTGGTCTTCAGCTATTTGTCTCCTACAAAATTTCACATTGTGAGGGGGAGAATATTTTTTTCCTTCCATTCCACTGTACCTAAATAGCAACATTGAAGTACCTAGCATTTTAGCCAATCACAGTCCTTGTTTCATAGTTGATGTGTTATTATTTAATCGTAGATTCCAAGTCTGGAAGCTTCTGCAAGTGGCACAGAGGGTGGAGTCCATATCCAGACTTGTGGCCATCACCTTCATGTAGACTGTCAGCAAACGTACCTTAAATCTCTTCAGGTATAGTTAGCTATCATCCTGTTTCATAATAAATAATGACAAATCTGTAAAAACTGAATAAGACGCTTTGTTGCAAAACGCTTCGACCTTCATCGTTGCCTGATGGAGTGAAAACTTGCTAAGGCAAGAACATAGGTTTAAAATTATGCTAAGCGGCTAGTTAATAAATGGTGTTTCACGAAATATCGGGAAAATATAAGTTGTCATTACTTGCGCTTTAGTCCCTTTTGTGGCTCCATTGTGTTGGTGCAATACTTATTGTTTCTTGTTTTTTGTTTCTGTAATTTCTTCTGCGTGCTAAACATGTAATCATAGCTGTTATTTCAAATATAAGCTATTGAGGCCCTGTCTTGATCGCTACTTTTTATTCTTTGAAAAAAAATAATTAAAACTCGAATCTCTTGCAGGAAGAAGATGCGAATCAGCTTCATCTTCATCATCAACTGCAGCCTTACAATCCAAGAAACGGAGAATTCACTTGTCCTTTGTGTCGACAGCTTGGTAATTGTGTACTTCCCATTGTGCCCACGCAGATTATGCCAACTGGTAAAACGGCATCTAAGGTCAGTATTATTTTATGCAAGATGTATTTTGTTAGCTTGACTGCCACAGTGTGATTTAACTGCCGGAAATTGGGGGAGGGGAGACGCGTAAGATTGGTGTTGGAAAAGATTGGATGTCTGCATTGTGGTGTTAACTGGATGTCCATTTTCAACTAAATTTTGGAACAAGTTTCTAAATTCGTAAAATTATGACTCAAGAGCTTTCGCTTGAATAGTCACACAATTGGGTTTTATTCACCATTTCAAAAGAGAGGACCAGCTGTACGTCAAACTAAACAGTACCACATGAAAGTACTGCTCATTAGCTTTCACTTGACTTGTAACACACTAGGGTTTTATGATTCGGTTTAGTTAGTTAGTTAGAACCAGCTTGTACAACTGTATTAGCAGTACTTCATAAAAATATGGCTTCTCGATAGCTTGGTATGGACACACCATCGGACTGAAGTGGTTAATGTCGTCCTTTTGTTAGTATGCACGTTTTGAAAATTGTGACATATTACCATCCAGCGTTCTCCTATGCTGTGCCTTCCTTGTTTAAGTGTTCAGCAAATTTATGAGTAATAACCATACTCATTTACTGGCCATTTACGGACAGAGATCAGTTATGTTTGTGTCATTATAAACCACAGAATGCGCTGAAAACCCACAAAGAACAAACAAGCGATCTTCACGCAGTCCTGAGGAAATTCAAACTTCATGTAAGTAATACAAAGCTCAGAATTTTGCTTGCTTAGAGTCACTAAGAAGTAACCTGCTCGGCTGGAAATACGTCACTTGTAATTTCTCATTTCCCGTAATATTGGTTACGTTACATCTTAGAGTATCAATATCTTGGTTCTGTATGCACAAAGCATTTTTATATACAGATTAGGTTCCCATTCAACAGAACATTATTCTAGATATTTCCTATTTATCAAGTTAAGAAAGCTCTTTTGTCGTGCTTTATTGTGAAGGGCATTTTTAATCGGTAACACTCCGAAACGCATTAATGATTTGGCTCACAGAATGTTGAAAGACTGACAGATCCGTTTTCACTCAGATTGATGTAGCAGAGGTTTACCACGCTATTTATCTAAAACAAGCACCCAATTCGTATTACATAACTGCTAGAAATGCTTTATGAGACACAGGTTAATATAGAGCATGGGTGGACAAAGCTGTAAGCAGCACAGGAAACCAGACTTTATGCACCACAGAGTTACCAAGCTTAACAAACCAAATAACGACTGAATAGTTATAACCTGACTGTTTGTCTTCTTGTCCAACAGACTATCACCAAACTAACAGCCAGTGCACTCAACTTCAATGTGCTCGGTGCAGCAATTAAGGCTGTGGTAGAATCAGTGTCTGCACTTGACGGTGAAAATCACAGGTGTTCAGCTGAGAAGAAGTTCAGTCTGCTTTACAGAATGGCTAGGTACGTCAGCTAAGTGATTAGTAGGATGAATTTCACTAAAACAACGACGACGGATCGCGGTTTTCATGCTGTTTTCCATCGCCTTCCAGGACAAATTTAGAGCTGGAACAAGTGGACAAAGCGGCGAGGAAACTCTCAAGTCCGCGAAAGTCCTGTTTTGGTGAGTATTTTGTATGGTCACTGCAAATCTTTTGGCCTAACGACGCTTTGTCACGAAAAACAGAGGCCTTTTTTTGCAATATGCAAAAGAAAGAAAGCGTGAAAGTAATAGCTGTCCCAGTTTACGAAGACAGGACAACACTAGTGAGGTAACACTAAGTCAGATTCAGAGAGTCAACGTGTCGTTTCTACTCATGATATTATGTCTGTTATCTGCATTGTTAGGTCCAGTGATGCGCGCATTCCAGTTTTATTCCCAGACCCTCGTGGGTCCTTTACTGTCCGTGTGGTCAGATCTGACTGGAACTGATGACCTCAGAGAACCGTCACCCAGGTAAGATAAACCGTCAAGTCCGCTCGTACCAAAGTGGTTCAACCCTTCCCAGAGATTGCCCCAATCTCTGTGGCATGGGGCGACTGGAAGTATTCTACTCAAGTCCATCGCAGGATTACCCCTCCAGTATTTTGTTTTGTCGCGCCAACAATTGGGTGGTACGCTTTTACACTGCTGGTTGGAGAGAGGTATTGTGAGAGTAAAGCGTCTTATCCAAGAACGCAACACAATAACTCCAACTAGTGCTGGGACATGGCTCGCTCGAGTTCCGGGCGCAAATTATTAGGGCNCAACGTCAAAACAACTCAACATCTCTGTGATTGGTTAGAGCATGCCACACCACTGTTTTTAAGCCAATAGCGAAGCGCGCGAGTGACGTCATAACTCAGACAAACTCAGACAAAAAAAAAACGGAATGGTGGAAGATTTTACGCTTTTTCAAGCTCGTAAGCAAGTGTTCCTAAAACAATTTTTAAAACGAAAATTTGGCGTTCATTTTCCTCCTGTTTCTCTGACTCTCGCGGGGTTCCAATAATTTGCATTCTATTTTTAGACTTCGCACGCTTCGTTATTGGAGAGCTCAGAAAACTTAGAATCAAGGGACACACGTTATGATCTTGGTATCCTGTATATTTCTAGGATCACTTGTCCTATTTTCATTCCAACCTTCGTTATCAAGTTCTGGTCTTCAGCTATTTGTCTCCTACAAAATTTCACATTGTGAGGGGGAGAATATTTTTTTCCTTCCATTCCACTGTACCTAAATAGCAACATTGAAGTACCTAGCATTTTAGCCAATCACAGTCCTTGTTTCATAGTTGATGTGTTATTATTTAATCGTAGATTCCAAGTCTGGAAGCTTCTGCAAGTGGCACAGAGGGTGGAGTCCATATCCAGACTTGTGGCCATCACCTTCATGTAGACTGTCAGCAAACGTACCTTAAATCTCTTCAGGTATAGTTAGCTATCATCCTGTTTCATAATAAATAATGACAAATCTGTAAAAACTGAATAAGACGCTTTGTTGCAAAACGCTTCGACCTTCATCGTTGCCTGATGGAGTGAAAACTTGCTAAGGCAAGAACATAGGTTTAAAATTATGCTAAGCGGCTAGTTAATAAATGGTGTTTCACGAAATATCGGGAAAATATAAGTTGTCATTACTTGCGCTTTAGTCCCTTTTGTGGCTCCATTGTGTTGGTGCAATACTTATTGTTTCTTGTTTTTTGTTTCTGTAATTTCTTCTCCGTGCTAAACATGTAATCATAGCTGTTATTTCAAATATAAGCTATTGAGGCCCTGTCTTGATCGCTACTTTTTATTCTTTGAAAAAAAATAATTAAAACTCGAATCTCTTGCAGGAAGAAGATGCGAATCAGCTTCATCTTCATCATCAACTGCAGCCTTACAATCCAAGAAACGGAGAATTCACTTGTCCTTTGTGTCGACAGCTTGGTAATTGTGTACTTCCCATTGTGCCCACGCAGATTATGCCAACTGGTAAAACGGCATCTAAGGTCAGTATTATTTTATGCAAGATGTATTTTGTTAGCTTGACTGCCACAGTGTGATTTAACTGCCGGAAATTGGGGGAGGGGAGACGCGTAAGATTGGTGTTGGAAAAGATTGGATGTCTGCATTGTGGTGTTAACTGGATGTCCATTTTCAACTAAATTTTGGAACAAGTTTCTAAATTCGTAAAATTATGACTCAAGAGCTTTCGCTTGAATAGTCACACAATTGGGTTTTATTCACCATTTCAAAAGAGAGGACCAGCTGTACGTCAAACTAAACAGTACCACATGAAAGTACTGCTCATTAGCTTTCACTTGACTTGTAACACACTAGGGTTTTATGATTCGGTTTAGTTAGTTAGTTAGAACCAGCTTGTACAACTGTATTAGCAGTACTTCATAAAAATATGGCTTCTCGATAGCTTGGTATGGACACACCATCGGACTGAAGTGGTTAATGTCGTCCTTTTGTTAGTATGCACGTTTTGAAAATTGTGACATATTACCATCCAGCGTTCTCCTATGCTGTGCCTTCCTTGTTTAAGTGTTCAGCAAATTTATGAGTAATAACCATACTCATTTACTGGCCATTTACGGACAGAGATCAGTTATGTTTGTGTCATTATAAACCACAGAATGCGCTGAAAACCCACAAAGAACAAACAAGCGATCTTCACGCAGTCCTGAGGAAATTCAAACTTCATGTAAGTAATACAAAGCTCAGAATTTTGCTTGCTTAGAGTCACTAAGAAGTAACCTGCTCGGCTGGAAATACGTCACTTGTAATTTCTCATTTCCCGTAATATTGGTTACGTTACATCTTAGAGTATCAATATCTTGGTTCTGTATGCACAAAGCATTTTTATATACAGATTAGGTTCCCATTCAACAGAACATTATTCTAGATATTTCCTATTTATCAAGTTAAGAAAGCTCTTTTGTCGTGCTTTATTGTGAAGGGCATTTTTAATCGGTAACACTCCGAAACACATTAATGATTTGGCTCACAGAATGTTGAAAGACTGACAGATCCGTTTTCACTCAGATTGATGTAGCAGAGGTTTACCACGCTATTTATCTAAAACAAGCACCCAATTCGTATTACATAACTGCTAGAAATGCTTTATGAGACACAGGTTAATATAGAGCATGGGTGGACAAAGCTGTAAGCAGCACAGGAAACCAGACTTTATGCACCACAGAGTTACCAAGCTTAACAAACCAAATAACGACTGAATAGTTATAACCTGACTGTTTGTCTTCTTGTCCAACAGACTATCACCAAACTAACAGCCAGTGCACTCAACTTCAATGTGCTCGGTGCAGCAATTAAGGCTGTGGTAGAATCAGTGTCTGCACTTGACGGTGAAAATCACAGGTGTTCAGCTGAGAAGAAGTTCAGTCTGCTTTACAGAATGGCTAGGTACGTCAGCTAAGTGATTAGTAGGATGAATTTCACTAAAACAACGACGACGGATCGCGGTTTTCATGCTGTTTTCCATCGCCTTCCAGGACAAATTTAGAGCTGGAACAAGTGGACAAAGCGGCGAGGAAACTCTCAAGTCCGCGAAAGTCCTGTTTTGGTGAGTATTTTGTATGGTCACTGCAAATCTTTTGGCCTAACGACGCTTTGTCACGAAAAACAGAGGCCTTTTTTTGCAATATGCAAAAGAAAGAAAGCGTGAAAGTAATAGCTGTCCCAGTTTACGAAGACAGGACAACACTAGTGAGGTAACACTAAGTCAGATTCAGAGAGTCAACGTGTCGTTTCTACTCATGATATTATGTCTGTTATCTGCATTGTTAGGTCCAGTGATGCGCGCATTCCAGTTTTATTCCCAGACCCTCGTGGGTCCTTTACTGTCCGTGTGGTCAGATCTGACTGGAACTGATGACCTCAGAGAACCGTCACCCAGGTAAGATAAACCGTCAAGTCCGCTCGTACCAAAGTGGTTCAACCCTTCCCAGAGATTGCCCCAATCTCTGTGGCATGGGGCGACTGGAAGTATTCTACTCAAGTCCATCGCAGGATTACCCCTCCAGTATTTTGTTTTGTCGCGCCAACAATTGGGTGGTACGCTTTTACACTGCTGGTTGGAGAGAGGTATTGTGAGAGTAAAGCGTCTTATCCAAGAACGCAACACAATAACTCCAACTAGTGCTGGGACATGGCTCGCTCGAGTTCCGGGCGCAAATTATTAGGGCACCGGGTCTTCTGTAAGACTCGAGTGTCTTTTTGGCATTCATAACTAAAGGCAATTTACTCTCCTGTTGAATTTAGAAAGCTGCCGTGTCGAGTGTTAGGTCCACTTTAAGGCAAATGTTTGCCACAGTTTTCGTCGATCCAGGAACGATTGTAAGCGAGTCTCTAGCTGTTGATACTGGTAGAACAGTATCATTTAATTAGAGTTCTATTGTTTTCAATTGCAGTGGAGCAAGCTCTTTTCAGGAGTGTCCTCTACTCTTGAGGGATGCGCCGTCTCTGTTAATCCACATGATATTGTCATGGCCAGCTGCTCTGTCAAAACGTAAGTTCAACACTTTCACTTTAAAGCCATGCTTACATCTGGCATTTGTTCTTTTTGGTGATCATATTGTCGTATCAATTCATCTTTCAGGTGACTTCAAGTGCCTTGTGCAGCTTATATTCAACTTGGTGTTCACTCAGGTAAGAATTGTTACCTCTATCTGTCACGATCAATGAATGTACAAGACGTCATCAGTTATCGATATATTGCTTTTTTGTGTGTACATGGTTCCCTGTGGTAGCTTCAAGTGTGGCAACCTTTGGTAGCTTGACCAACCATCTCATTCTAAGCGCATTTATTGTTTTTTGTTTGTTTTAGACTTTGGTTGACACTTGTTGCAAGTTTGTCGGTGATGAGAAACTCTCGTGGCAAGACTTAGGAAGAAAAGCAGCTTCACAGGTAAATTCAAAATGTATTGTAAAATTCTGTAAACAAAAGCGCCGAGATTATTTTCTTCGAGTGCCTTTCTGCTCATGAATTAATTTTGGTGGATTGAGGTGGAGATATCAACGGTGTAAAGTTTTTATTTCAAACATGGCCGGGCTTATTTTTGGACTGGTTTTGCCCGAGAACACCATAGGCCAATCTCCCTACATATGACGATTTAAAAGGCGAAGAAAAAGTTTTTACCGACGTTAAATGCATAGCCAAACTTAGTGTTCTTACTGTGACGATCTAGCAAATCAAGCTATACAGGTCTTAATCAGAAGAAATAATTCCAAAGTTTGAAAGCAAAATCTTATAAAGTCATGCGCTCATATTTGGGGAAGGAGGCATTGTTATTGCGGCGTTACTTTCGGGGATAGGGAGTGTGTAATTTCGGACATCTACCATATGACATTACCACGAGGTCTCCAATACCTTCCTATAAGTTCAAACAAGATAGTTATATATGATTTCATTGTTTGAAAGCAAAATCTTATAAAGTCATGCGCTCATATTTGGGTCGGAGGTGGGGTTAATAGGGCATTATTTTCGAAGATGAGGGATGCTTAATTTCGGGCGTCTACCTTATGACATTACCACAAGGTCTTCATTGGCTTCCTGTGAGTTGAACCAAGATATGATAAGTGAAAAGGTTAATTCGTTGTCCAGTCAAGAGGCAATAAAGATGTTATTTGATATGTTCTTTTGTGTTGTTTAAGGAACTTTCTCAGGGCACACTATCAGCTGATCTGTTGCTTGGTTATGTTTGCCGCATGCTCAGTAACAGCACCTTGATCAAGGAGGATCACCACACTGGAGGGGTGAGTAATCAATTCTTGCACTCCAGGATAGTGGAGGTACTGAACCATTTATAAACATGCAACCAGAGACAAGCGTGGAAACAGTCACAAGGGACAAATCACACTTGGGCTACATGGTAATGTTTCACTATTGCCCAAGGAAAAAATCGAAGCGCCTAAAACTTTGAATGGAAATTGGTCGTTTCAAAAGAATGACTCGTGTCTTTTTTTGTTCCCTATCTAGATCTCGCAATCAGTATGGTCTCCACACACTGTAGAGCGGTCCTTGCAGGACTCATGTCTGGCGTTTCTTCGCTCAGCTTGCACCATGGCTTCTCTCTGCTATGACGTGGAAATACCACAAGTTGAGGTAAACCCTTAAAGAGTAGTTCCTCTGGTGTCTTTGTCGTGATTATTACGTAATTTGACTTAAAGTGCCTATGTACGAATCGTCCCTAGAATCTCTCTCTTCTCTTTCGTTTGGTTGTCAATGTGTTCCCGGTGACACGTAACAACCTAACTATCCCCAGTTTCCCTCTTGACGCGGTTTTTGACCCAACCGGAAGTACTTTTTCATGTTTTCAAACGGCTAAAACGCGGTGAAGGAAAATCGCTACGGGAAATATTTTTCCGCTTTTCACATCAGAACCTGATGTAGAATCTAACAAGAAAATAAAAAAAGTTCTGTTATAGGCATTATAAAATCTGCGAAATTTGAGTAAGAATGTTTTGGTAAGCTTGGCTAGGTAGCCAACGAAGATGTAACATTTTATTGATGGTTTACCTACCTCCTCTCATGAGATATTTAAGCTTTAATGCTGATGATGTTACTCTTCGGAGATCAAGGTAGTGTTTAATTGGTTGTTACTTGCGCTGAAAATTCATGACCTAGCAACAACCAATCGGATCTCTGTAGAATTATGCCATCAGTTTGGAAGTTTTGGGTGAAGTCTCGTACATCTTTCAAGATAGGACAGAATTGGAATTCTTTCGTCTCTCTTCGCATGGTTAAAAGTGCTTGACGAGCGAGGCCCTTTTAATCAAGCGAAACGGAGTTTCTAGAGGAAGTGAATCACCTATAGAAGCCAGGAATATCATCATTTTTTGACCAGACTACATGTCCATTTTGAGGGGCGCATTTACGTGGCATTTATTTTGATGACATATATTTTCATTTTGATGATATTTTCATTTCAGGAGAGAGACGCAGAGTTTCGTGTACTGGCTTCGACTCTGGGTTTGTGCGATCCATCTACCACTAGTGCCGAGTCCTTTTCGTGCGTAAGCTGTCTACAGTGGCCTCATTCTAAACCACGGAAAATAATTCGACAGTGGTGCGAAGGACTCTTGCTTTGTTTCATGCATAAGAAGGCCGCCTTAACCAGGGTAACTTAACGTACTGTTGTTCTTTGACGTTGTTGAAGTTTTTGACAACGGTGACAACTGAGATTAAAGCCCTGTCCAAACGGGAAATGTTTGGCCATCAATCATTGTTTGGTCACCAAACATTTTCCCCCTTTGACGCCATGTTTGATCGTCTTGGATCGTGTTTGGTAAAATTTGAACGACGTCAAACATTTGATCAAACATTCTAAACATTTCGTTCGTTCAAACATGTTTGATACCGTTCGGCCACACAGTACCGTGACAACATCAACATGTTTGGTCTTCAAACAATGTTTCATTGTGTTTGGTCGCCAAACATGTCCCGTTTGGGTAGGGCTTAAAAGTTCATTTTTAAAAAAAACTAAATAGATTAAATGGCATTTTATTGGTCAATTCGCAGTCGTTTCCTTTATCAAGAAGGACTATATTCTTTTCTTTTCCTTTAATTTTGCATGACTTTATGAACGCAAACGTTTGTGTGATTGAGCTCAATACTCTTGAGTGAGGGATTGTTCCTCAAGGTTTCTCTAAGAGCCTGTGATAATTTTCTTTCTTGTAGGAACTTCTTCCCAACTTGGGTCAATGGCCTCCTCCCAGACTTCTTCAACTTCCTGAGCGATATGATAGGTGCGTGAGTACTTCCCTATCTTCTCACTACCTTTCTGTAACGTTTTAAAGGTAGTAAGTTAGGAGAACTTAGGACCTTATCAACTCTGAGAAAAAGGCGTCTTGTTTCAGTGATTTGAAAACCAATTTGAGCCAGATTTCGATGAATGAATGATCTTCTAAATCAGCCCAGCTCATTTACTAAGACTTCCGGAGATAGAGCGTTCTCTGTATTTGCCCCGAGATTTTGGAATAGTTTACCCTTGGCTTTGCGCAGATTGAATTCGATGTATAGTTTTAAGAGGGACCTTAAGACCTATCTTTTTACAAAATTTGTAAATAGCCGCTCTGTTTTGTAAGTATGGTCACTTTTAGTTATTGTTAGGTATTATTATTTTATTATTTGTACTTTGGTTATTTTTTACTTGTTTGTATATTTTTTTTGAGCTTTGGATATGTGGGCTATGTAAATACGATCATTAGAGATTTCCCCACGGATAGTGCATTTGGAATGATATATTTGTTCGCTCGTACTTTGTCTGTATCATTCCTCTCACATTTCTCTTATCTCGACAGTTTAATTCAGCATTACCGTAAGCGAAAGTGCACGAAGTGTGGTAGCGCTCCGGACGACCCTGCGGTATGTCTGGTCTGCGGCAAATTCACGTGTCTCCAGGGATCGTGTTGCGTTGATAGGAACGGCGCGAGGGACAAATACGAGTGCATACAGGTTGGTAGGGTGTCTGAAGAATTGGTTATTCATATTTAGCACAGTTCGTTTTAAATCAGTGCGATGCCACCGTTGAGAATTTTCAACTCTCGGTGCCTCTCTCCAGCCGGAATTACAAAGGATTATTGGCAAATTGTTAGGGAAACCTGCTAGAATGCCAAGCAGTTGGGAGGGTGGGCGGGGTGGGCGGGGTAAACAGCAATGGACTTGCCTTCCATCCATGGGGAGTAGCGATACCCCTCGCTGTGTATTTGTGCATGTAAACCAACATTGATGAACCAGCTGGCTCCTTCGACCTTTAGAATTCGAATGGCCGTGACCTAACCGACTCTAAGTAGTTGACGGGTCTTGTTTCTGGTACATTCTACTTTATTTTCTACCCACTCCGAATGTAAACAGATTTTTAGCGCCCAACTCGTGAGCTGTTTCTCAAGCGCTCAACAGTTTCTATTGTAAAAAAAAAAAAAGTAAAAAATGTAAATCTTATTTATAGTGGTCATCCACTTAGCTACACAAGCGCTAAGCGTGGCAGAGTGGAGGCCTTGAACCCGGGACCTCCACATTACAGCACCAGCGCCCTAAACCACTCGGCCCTGCTGCCTCCTTTTAAAGTAGAACACTGGTGTTGTAATCCGGAGGTCCCGGGTTAAAGGCCTCCACCCTGCTACTAGCTGGATTTGTTTCTCCGTAGTCCCGAGTTCAAATCCTCGGTCACGCTTTGTAAATAGCCGACTGGTCTGCCTCCTGCCTGTTGGGATTTTTAACAATGTTACGTTTATTAAACACTTTATCCGGTTAAACTACTAGTGAGATGAACTTTGTTTTTTTACAGCATGCCGTGAATTGCGGGAGAGGGACTGGGATCTTCTTAATCGTACTGTCGTCAGTGATCATTATAATCAGAGCGGAACGCGTCTGCATCTGGGGCTCAGTGTACCTCGACTGTTTTGGCGAGGAAGACCGGGATCTAAGGTTAGTCGGCTTGGTCCTAGTTTTGTAAAAAAGCAGCTTTGCCACACCAAATATATAGCTTACTATCAGCTTTATTCCTTAATTACCTGGCAACCACTTACTTGGACATCCAGGCCACTGAAAGAAATACTTGCGAGTTCCAATAGGTTAGGCCACCTACTCTTTACCAAGCTTAATCTATAACGTTATTTCTTTCCATAGGCGAGGAAAGCCGCTGTTTTTGAGTCGCGAACGTTTCGACAGACTTGAAGAGCAGTGGCTTACACACAGCTTTGATTACATGTGTAAGAGATGGAAGCGACACGAAAACACTCTGTAGAGGGACGACCGTATGATATACCTCCGATAATAATGAAATCCGAGGCCATCAATTGCGTTTTAGCCTGTTTTTGGAAAGTTTTCTAATGAACCCGTTGAAATCAATGACCTCTGGGACTGTTTCAATATTTATAACATTTTAAAGGAAAGAGCAACAGTGTTTTGGCAGATATGTAAAGTAGAAGTTGAATATTTTATGTCGAAATTCCGACTGCCAGAGAAGTGTTTGGTAGAGCTCGTAAAATTCAACGCGGAGAATGGGTATTTACCTCTCGTTCAGTTTACGTGTTGTTTACAAAAATAAGTACGTTTATTTATATATTTTTGTGCAATAATTATTTTTGTGTATTTCAGCAATGGTAAGACACGCATAGTGGTCTTGTGCAAATACGAGAATTTATTGGTTCTCTCACAGTTGACTATTCGCCGATCGACCATGCTCGACTGATGTCTTTGAAAGCGAAAATTGTAATATTATTTTTGGGTTAAAGAACAACTAAAAATGTAAGGTTGTTCTTGCTACCCTTGTTAGCGTCTACTAAAACTAGGGACGGTTAACAGTTTAAACCGTTCACTGTCAGAGACAAAGATGTGTTTATATCACTCATTCTGCTTCGAACTCAATCTTCGGCACTGCCATCCTATTTTCACCCACTCGATGCTGGGTTGAACAGCAACTGATGTAATTTAAACAAAGAATGTAAAGCAGAATTCCTGCTGTAATGAACAAATCACAAACGTAACCTTGTTAAGCTGTTTACAAGGGCTTTGCGTTGAACGATTTAAGGCGGACACAGCATTTTTGACTTGTATCACCTTGACAATATTGTATTGGTTTAAAAATGCTTTGGGACATTAAATACGGATATATTTTTTTGTGGGACTGATAGAACTTGCTCTTTCGTAGACTTTCTATTGGATATTCTAGGAGAATTGTCATCTTGACCAATCTTTCAGTTGAAAGGCAACAACGTATCAAACTGTTTAGAAGTTGAGCAAAAGTTTTCCAAAAGGTTTCGAGGTTTCTGGTGGTGGAATCTCATTTAGCTTGACCCGAAGTTGCTGTAAAACAGAAAAATTAAAAAGAAGATATTTCGGCTGTGCATTGGGACACTCGTCCCAAACACCGGCTGAAAAAATATGTGCACTGCGCAATAAAAAAAAGTTAGCATGCGACCCATTGTCATTTCTCGATGAAATCTCATTAAGCTTGACCCGGAATTGCTATTCAACGGACAAATTAAAAAGAAGATATATCGGCTGTGTGTTGGAACTTTTATCCCAAACACCGACTAAAAAAAATATTGTGGAATGCATTTTTCTCACCCACTACGCGCGAAACAAAGTTGGCGTGCGCCTCGTAGTCTTGGACCATCATGAGCTAGTCTGTTTACGCAAACTGATTTTTAGCTGTTGTGTTCGCGCAGGGGTGGTGCGAAACAGCAGGTAGAAAACCGTCTGTGATCGCGGGCTTTGTGGGAGTTTTTAAATTGTAACCCAGAACAACGAATATTAGTTTCTATTTCGAGGTTTCAACACCAACCAACAGTCGCTGCGCATCCTTACTGCGCACGCAAATACAAGCAGCTGGCAGTTGCTATAGCTTTGCCTGGATTTAACGATCTTGGACGTTCGGTGACCCCTTTTTTCTTTTGATGGATCATTTTCTCTACCAATTTTCTACGTTTAGCGAAAAAATGAAAATCTATCGATAAGAAGTTTGCATTTTTTGCAAAAAGCACCATCAAATTCCGTTCTTTTAGCTCTTCGTTTATTTGTTCGGCGGTTTCCAATGCCTCTTGAAAGGTTAAGTTTTGTGAAAACGTTGGCAGCAGTTGGAATTATTTACGGAACAGACCCACTTTTAGAAAATATGACTACGATCTTTTGCCTCCGTTGACTCACCTTCGATATTTTTAACTATAAACCCCTGTAGACCATGCTGAATTACGTGCGCCAATTTCTCAAAATCAGGGTACTTTTCCACACGCTTTATCTCTGAAACGNATCTCTGAAACGAAGCCGGGGACTCCCAATTGTATTTGAATTTCTGACACAAGTAACTCATTATCTGACTGCAGTAGAAAATTTAAAAAAAACCTATTAAAAATGTTCGCGCGAACGTCCTTAACTGATGATTTATTTTATCGTAATTACATGGACTGTTCAGTTTGGGTTCTTGTTGTTTAACCTCACTAGGGAAACAAAGTTTGAGTCCCAAAGTTAAGCGAAATGACGTTGGTGCAAAACTGCCAACTGAGAACAAATTCTAAAAACTTGACATCGTCATGGCAATGAACGTGTGGAATAAACTATTTGACGCAGTTGATGAGTCATCAATCGTGATTTGACGAATTTTCAGATCTGGTCTACATTGGAAGCATTCCACAAGAGCGTTTATTCACGATGTTTTTCGACGAAGTAGAGCCGCAAATTTATGAGGTTTTTATTACTGTAGGAGTTTTGCTGATTGCAACACTTCTTTTTTTAACATTTGTTATTTCAACGGCCATAGATTTTGCAGTGCGTCGGTGTTTCAAGGTGAGTGGTACCTAGTCCCTCTAGCTGTTGAGGATTTATGCTCAAGAAAGTTTTGTGCAGAAGGAGAAAGCAGCCAGGTTTACCGGATACAAATATATTTGGCGCCAACTTGATTGAAATTCAAGCGAGTTTCGTGTCTCTAATATTGGTTAAAAACTTTCAGCTGACTCAAGTTATGAAGAAACAACGTTTGTATTCCAACTCTGCAAAGTTGAGATAACTGGACGAAAAAAAACACTTCCTCGAGTTAGACTTCGTTTGCATTGTTTCAAGTCCCCCGATTAACTAGGTTCAACGCAAACGGACGACTATGTAATGGCATAAACTTTCATTGTTCATGATATTTCGATGTACGATGTTCAGTTGGGCTAAATAATGTCCGTTTTTTACTGGCCAGAATTGCTTTAAAAATAACGTCGTAAATTATATAGTGGGCCGATCGATCCAACTTCAAAACATATTATTTCTTTTGAACATTACTTGAAACTCTTCCAGGCAAAGAAACAGCCCATAACTTGGCCACCCAAGCCTAAATGCCGGCCTCCGACGCAAATCCAATGGGACAAAGTTAAAATCGAACGCCAAACGACTACGTCAGGAAAGAAAAAGATCCCTCGACCTCCCAATGCTGAAGAGATTGCGCGCGCAGCTCGGATCCAGGAAATGATCGACGCTCACAGGCAAGGCTTAAGGAGGCTCTATTTGGGAAGACAGCGTGCCATGATTAACAGAAGAGCTATACACAGCATCATGGAGAAAGACGCGCGTGAATACGCAGAAAGAGACGAACACAGGAAGCAACTGATCGCAGAATTAGCCGCTAATTTTAAGAAACAACAGCGGCGAGCTCGAGCCTGGGTGAAAGAGATCGAGGAATCATATGAAAACAGCGAGCCTTTCGCAGTAAGAATGGAGAGAGAGTACCAAATGAGAGAGAGGAATTCAATGCAAGTAGACGGACGTTTTGAAGGGCCAGAGTTGACGCCAGCCAAACAAGAAGAGGACATTGGAAACCCGTCCAAAGAGGTAAAAGAAACAGAGGAATGCAGAACGCCATTCCTGAGAGTGCTTGGCGACAGCAAGATGATCAAAATGAAGGTAATGAATGAATATGCAGTCACCTCGATCTTTAAGACTTCGCCCACACTACGCCGGAGGAATTTAAAAACGCACCAATCACCGGTCATTTTGGATTTGTGTTTGACGAAAACTCGAGCAGGGAAATCACATGATTTCGTGACGTTATTATTTGTGGAAAAACTTCGTTTTCAGAATGTTTTCCGCCCACACAAAAACGAGAAGTCTTCATTTTTAAACTCCCCCGGTTTGAAGAGCGCGTTTTCGTAAAGCTCCGTTTTCGTGACATATTAGTCTGGACGAGAAATAAAAGCTGCGTTTCAAATTTCTCCGACGTAGAGTGAACGCTGCCTAAGGCAGACACTTGTGGGGGCGGCCAGCTTCTTCCAGGCTTCCACGGTCAATGGATATCAGTGACGTAAGCGAGATGGACGGCCAGGGAAAGCCCTTTTTTGCTCGCACCAAACGGATTGTCCGCGGCGAAATATCGAGGCCTAGGAACTAGGCATCATCTTACAATGGTGTCTTCCCAGAGAGACTTGACTGTTACCAAGTTAAATCGTCTTAGCTTCGTTGTGACAGAACGCAAACTAATATTTCTAAATGTAGGACAACAATGACTGAGGATTTAAAGGGTTATAATTAAATTTAAGGTCAATTGCGTCCGGTTGCATTGCATGTAACATTTTAACTGCCGATTTTAACGTTTGACCAGCCTTGTTGTTATATAGACAACGCCTGGTTTCGAGAAACTGCGCGAGCTGATGGGCTGCCAACTGACGGGTAATCAGCTCTTATAATCCACCAAATATTTCCGCCCACGCTCGATTGGTCTAAACATGTCACGTGACTGAATATTCCCCAGCTAAAACTGGGGAATATCCGAGTGATATTCCCCAATTTTCAAAACCGCGCGTGTTGCGAAAAAGATTTGAAGGATAATAAACACAATAGCCCCCATTTGACGTGAAAATATGCTCGGATATTTCTCCTTGGACATTACCTGTTCCTCGAAGCTCACAGTTTTCGGAACAGAGAATGTCCGCGGACAAATATCCGAGTATATTTTCGCGCCAAATGGAGGCCATTGCTTATATATCCTTAGTGCGCGCGAAATACTTTTGATGACCAAAAAA